AGTGGGCTGCAAGCATCTATTTGCATGTGTTCTTGGTGGAAAGAGGGTATTACCATCCACAACAGAGACTTTTGCTCCAAAAACTGGCACAGTTATTTGCAGTAGCTAACATCAGCCCTTTAACTTCACTGATAACATCCCTACACAAACAATTGAGTCTCAAATGGGTGACTGAGTGCCTTTAAATAAAAATCAGATTCTTCCTTTCACTGTAATAGGAGCTTCAAATACAGGTAGAGGTGCCTGAAGTTGACCTATGTGACTATTTTTCTCCCTCCCCTCTGACCAAAACAGCTATGAAAAGTAGTCCACAGAGAGTAGGGGCCACAGTTTCAAAAGGTGAGTGCCTAGAGCTATGTATATACAGCTATTTTCAGGCACTTTTAACTGGGTGGCCTGATTTTGAGAAGTTCTGGGTATGCACCACTTCAGCAATGGACATACTCCATAACTTCCAAAACATAAAACCTGACTATGTACTTTGGCGCTGAATTGTAAATATCTAGTTTTCAACTCAACCACAGACCTACAATTTATCTTAAAACAATACCTACACAGATTGCTTGGCACCAGATTCACTATATCAATATACTATAGGTGTATGTATATCTGGAAAAGAGGTTCCTGACCAGAAAAATGTGGCATCCAAAGGGAAGAGACAGGCAGACGTGCCAAGAAACAGACGCACGGGGGTGACACGCTGTGCCCAAAGTCACACAGTAACTTGGAACCAGCACCAAGCAGAAAACCCTGAGCCCCAAATCAAGTGTGCTACCCATTATTCATCATGCTGAGTCTCTCATTATCACAAAAAATACATGCAGCTGTTCAAGGACTATTTCTAAGACAGACAGAATCTGATAAAAAGAAATCCAGAAGAAATCCAAAAGAGAATGATGCCGTGATCTGTTTGGTAATAGCCCCCAAAATCAGAAAGAAGAGCACACACCAGCAACAGCATTTCATATAATAGTAAACAATCAAACAAATTATTTGGATTACATGATGGGATGAAAATTTCACAGCTAAAGGGTTTTACACTGTTTACAGAGTGTCCTGAGGGAATAGTTCCCATACTTCAAAAAAGACTGTTAGGAGAGAGAAATTCAGGAGTTGCAACTTGGCTCACGCAGGCGTTCTCTTTTTTAGGGGAATCCGTGAAGACTTGTTTCTGTAGAAATTTTAGATTTGAAGTTAAATTTAAAGAATATAAGAACAAGATTTTAAAACAATGGGAAAAAAAGCCATGTGGAAGTAGCTAAAGAAATGGACTCCAGTGTCTGCATTACCTACAGTTCAAACATCAAAGAAACCTTTAAGTCATTTGACACAGCAAAGGAAGCTGAGCAGCAGCACATGGGAAAACTAAATAGGTGGAGTGCTGAGTGAGTAGCATGTTTATCTCAGTTTGGGTTTAAATTTCTTCAGTTTACTTTACTATTTGTAAGATATGCAGGGAATTTTAAAAGCTTTTAATCTTAATACTAAAAATGTAATATGAAAAGGTTATTGCCTAGTCACTATGATAAACTGTTGCCACCTTAACCATGATTTTATAAGTCATATCTATCATAGCTTTTTAAGACAGCATTAGAGAACTCAGTTATTTTTCATGAGGTTAAAGCTTAAAAAGGTTCACAGAGCTCAAACCATACAATACCCTCCTAAAAATGAAATTTCTGTTAAGTAATGCTCTTAATCTTTCACTAAACATTACAGAACCTGATCTAGAACATTTTTATATCAGAAGCAATTCTCCATAAATAGGTAAGCAAAGCAACACAGCTTCTGAGAGAACTCCTATACCAATAAATAAATAAATAAATAAATAAATAAATAAATAAATAAATTCAGTGAACTATTTCAAGATAGACCTGCCAGCTATGTAGGACACAAGTTGAGAATGCAACCTTTATTTTTAAATCTTTTTTAAAAGACTCAGAACTGAAGGTTTCAAAACAAAAAAAAAATCCATTAAAATCACTGTTAAAATATCTCTTAAAGCTTTTAATTAATTTATTTATTTTTAAACAGAGAAGAGTCCCACTTCCTTCCAAGAGAGATCTCACTATCTATACTGAAGAAAATAGCAATCTGCAAGTCACCTCAGCAACTGCTAGTTGCATGCTAGTGCATCGGGTTCAAGGTGAATCCTGGTGCAGGGTGCCCAGAGAGTTCGTGCAATCTCCATCTGTGGAGACACACAAAACCTAATGGCACACGGACCTTGGGAACCTGCTCTAAAGGATCCTGCTTTGAGCTATATGATTTCAAGAGGTCTCTTCCAACCTCAGAGATTCTGAAAATCTTTGAATCTTGTATTTCCACACGGACTGAGGGGTTACAGTGTCCAGGTTCAACCCTGTGCTTCCCCCACGTACAGCTCTTGCCTAGTTACCAGGTTCTCCTCCACCTCAGTTCGTTTAGTGGCCGCAGATTGTGGTAGCACAGACAAGGAGTGTGCTACATAGTGTCTTTCCAACCCATTCTTAGCAGGCTGGATCAAAGTATTTATCACACAGACAAAAGGAGCAAGCTGCAGGACTTTCAGAAAATCTAACGATGTCCAGATACCCAGTTTTAAACACTTCAAATAAGGATTCCCTTTTTCAGGCAGCATGGAGAATTCAAGGTCAAAAGAACAGGCAAGGCATTAACTTGGCCATCTTAAAGATAATTACATTTAAAATCAAGCTGTTTACAGAACATGGGGCCCTATTGCTCTGCAGAACAGGGTCACCTCAGCACATCTGTCATTTTCAAAGGTGCAGGCAGTACACAGGGAGGAGGATTCAGCGCCACACGAACTGGAGTCAGCAGAGCATGTGGTCATCCTCTCTTTAACCCAGCCAATCCAAATCCTTAGTGATACAGTTCTTGTAAGGTCTACAGGAAATGAAGTGTAAACTGAAAGTCATAAGTAATGACTATACTTACTTATAGTTACTTTAAGACATAATTCAAATAGAGGTAATGATCCCCAGAATTCAAAACTGGTAGGTCTGTAAACAAACACTGAATTTTATTTTGAAAGATTTTCAATAGCAAAAGGCTTCTCCTTACACACATACTCAACCCTCCAGAGTCTATGGTATTCCCTTGAAAGAGATAGTTCCTTGCATTGACCTTAACCCACCATGCCCATTTTATGTTCTGTGATAAACTGGGCTCCCTGCTTACAGCTAAAGACTAGAATAATATTCTCTTGGTAGTGACTTCCACTTTGAAATTCCAGAAGAAAAAAGATGTTGCTCCTAAGACCTCATGCTATTCACAGATGTATTACTTCTTGTTAGTTTTCTAACGCTTATGGCATTGGGATATGGCACGACTGCTGCAAGGTAGAAAACGCAATTTAGCGGGTGAAAACAAGGAGGGGAAAAATCCCAGAACACTGTCTAGAGGGATGTAACTTTTTTCTCACTGCAGATCATTATGTGCAGGAATACAAAGGCTAGAATGAGAAGTTGGTCAATTACTCAGCTTTCCTGAGATTTTCCCTGCTAAATACAAAGTTGGTTCAAGGTCTCTATCATGATATTTCTGATGATAAGACAGAAATAAGATGAGATGGGCAAATATGGGGAGGATAGACACAGGGACAGGGGAAATATGGTCACCTAACACTGCAGCAGCCAGTGAGAACAGGTGAAGCTCTTCCTTACCTCATTCCTCAACTTTATTAATAGCTTCTCTTCAAAAGTGTCAGTTTTAACTGAATACAAACTTTTTTCTTTCTTCCTCCTTAAGCATTCATTCCTTCTTCTCATCAGGTTGACCAGAATATGCCATGCTCTCCCAAACACATTGTTCTCATAGAGATAATAATGACAGCAACTTAAGAATAATTTTTAAAAAATAATGAATCTCTCTGTAGCTAGAACGAAATCCCAGCCATTTCCTCAGAGAACAGGTTTCCCTCAGCACCACAAACAGCAATAACCAGTCCAAAGCAAAATCTTTTTGAATTAATTGAACATTTTCTCCTAAGGAGACTCCAAAAGACAAGGGAGAGTACTGAGAATTCTTAGTCTCATTTTTACATAACGGCACTACCGATGGTGCCAGGCAGGCCAGATGCAAACAGTATGTCTATAAACCCACAATTATAAAAATACAAGTTGATGAGCTTCTTATCTGCCCATCAAGATATCGGAATTACTGTTGCGATTGTGTTATCAGTAACGTCCCATCAGAATATGGTTTAGTATCACCATTTCCTCCAAGTATAGTCATCTAACATATGAAAGTCACTTCAAGAGCTACTCTAAACTTAAATTCCAAAGCAAATAAATGTTTCAAACATTTGAGACATTTGTCATATTGTCAAGAATATGCCAATAGCAGAAGCAGAAGAAAAAGGGAATGAAAGACCAACATAACCCAACAGTTGCAATGGTTAAAAGGGTACGACACCAGAATTATTCAGGTTGAAAATTCACGACTTAAATGATGCTAATTAAAGGCAACAGTCTATTTTGGGTAACTAGCCAACACCAGAAGTGTATTTATGTTCCTCCTAGCAACTAGCTTGTGCAATAGGCTTCCACTGCTTCTCGAAGATCTTAGCTCTATTTACGATTTCATTTTTTCCAGTCCTTTCCCAAATCCATTTTCTTCTTCCATAAATTTCCTTCAAATACAGCCCTCAGGATTCTTCTGACAAGCTGCTAAGTTTGCACATTCATTGCAACTTACCAACACGCACGAAAAGCAGATTTCTGGGAGTGCTCATTGTAGTAAATACGTTCCCCATTAAATTCACATCATATTTTTAAGCAAATGCAAAACACTGCTGTGTACATGGAAAAAGAAGAGCATGGGATTCCAGAGGGCAACCCTGTGACACAGGAATGCTTCAGGGCTCGTGCTCCCACAGAGAGAGAGAACGCAGGAGGCCCAAACCCACTACTTCAAGCCTCACACTCAGCCTCCAGAAGCAAGCTGCTGCCTTCTCTAGTCGCAATAAAAGCCTTCAGGGAGAGCAGGTATTGGCCTACCTTGCATGTACGCCTCAATCTGCCGAATTAGCTCATAAGACTTGGATCGGTCCAGAAGCGTACGAATAGCCGGAAGAGGGTCCAGGACAATGGTTTCTGGATGAGCATCAATATACTCCTGCAAAACAAATACGTAGGAAAAAAACAAAACAAAACAACAAACAAACACAAACAAAAAAAATGGCATTAGCTTGGCTGAAGAGTGTGGAAAAATAATGAGATGGGGAAGAGAACAGACAACGTTAAAAACCTCAATGTCTGGCTTCTCTTCAAGGGGAGGCAAACGGACATTGGCAACAGAGGAAGTCACCAGATAGTCCAGACACTGACATTTGAAACAAACACAAATGTGAAAGCTCACTCTTTCAGGATGGCAAATTTCTCCCATGGACTCACCATCAGCAGCAAAACCTGTGCTGCAAATACATCAGCTCAGAAGGGAGCCAGTGGCAAAGTGCCACAGTCACAGCTGTGAGCAGGGCTGAGAAAAGCAATTAGGAGAAGAAAGATGACACACTGCTATCTTGGGGTCAGCCTTGCATTAGAATACTGCACGTGAACATCACAACTGTCTGAACTAAGCTCAGAACTATATCTGAGTTCTTTAATGTTGTTATTACTGCCGTCCTGTAGCTGGGCTGAAGACAGCGTTAAGAGCTACACGATAAGGACTAGAATTTTTTTTGGCAGAGCTGAAGAGATTATTGTTCCATTGCGTCTTCACTGGGTTTTGAAAGCATACATCTTGCTATTTCTCTAGGTTCATACTCTCCCCTCTTGACTATGAGAACAAAGCAAAGTTAATGTTCTCGTGGATCTTCAGCTTGGGAACTCACTTCTCCATTCACCGATGTCATGACTGCATCTTGGCCATGAACACAGGTACAGCTGCCAGGTATTGCCCTTGCAAGCCCAACAAAATTTCCTTCTGTTTCTCAGAACACAAGCTGATGATCATTCCCCAATAAAGTCAATGGGACAAACCAGAACACATCTTACCCTATCCAATATCAGACAAAAGTTTCCAAAGTTGTTTTACCCAGCTTCCCAAGGCCACCTTTATGTTTCCACTCACTTCTTTATAGCCGTTCATGAAAATAATGTTCCTGCAAGTAACACACTTTCATGAAGTCCTACTTTCCTGAAGTTGGTTACTTCAGAGATCCAAACACACACCAAAAGATACTTGGGAGCATGACGAGGTGGCCTCAGGAGACCCGCTTTGCTAGAAACTGAGCTAGAGAGAAAATAATGACATCCTCTGTTCTCAGGAAGTGATTTTGCTTCAAATGCTGACTGGGGAAGCAGACTCTCTTCCCCCACTCTTCCTAGCACTGGCAAACTGTTGCTTTATGCTGACTACATAGTCTGAACTGACGGCTTGCTAAAAGGGGATTACATTTTTGAGGCTAAGAGGATCCAGCACTAGGGTTTAATGAGCCCAGTGCATCACCCATAGCACACAAGCAGCTTTCCTTCACAGGGCATGAGGCAATATGTGTCTGACGTATTTAATAATCCCTGCAAAAGACAAAGAGTGAAATCCCCAAAGATACACTCAACCTTGCTGCCACTTAGGAAAAGTAAGAGACAGAGCCTTTTGCACCGTCAGTCATGAAGACTGTCAGACCCAGCTGCTGTCTCACCCTCGAGTGTAGCCTGGATAAAACTTCTCCAGATCACTGAAGCAGAAGCTGGGTTCATTTCAAGTCATGTATACCCGGAACATACAGAGAACAGTTTTCATGAATCTCCTGCCCCTAGTACTTCAGAGGCTCAAGCAGAACAGTCAGCTTTCAAATACAGAAGGCATTTAATTTCTAAGACATAGAGTAACTTGTTACCTAATGCATCTTAAAGACCTATGTGTGTCTATGCGTGTGTGGCCTTTTACACAGCACCAGAAAACAACCTGTGAAGCTAGGAGGATCTAGTGATTAGGGCATTAGCTTAAAATTGCTGATCATGAACCTGTACACAAGTAGCTCAACATATCTAAAGCAGAACATGATAGCTCTTTTAGCCACTCTATGCCTCAGCTTAAAAGATAGGGAGCTACCACAGTGTGCATCTTCATGGGCGCAGAGAGGATGAGCACATCACAGACATCCAATGTTCTGGTGGGGCAGTCTGAACAAGCCACAGCTCCAAAACGTGACCTCAGCAGAGATCCGACAGCAAACATCCTGCTGCTTACTGATGCATGTATGAGCTTTTCCCTTTACACTGTGGTGACCACCCCTCCACCTTCATTGGTCTCTGGTTCCACTTTGAGTTCAAGCTTGCCATATTTCCATCCTGGCCCAGCCCTTACTCTGAATATACTAATCCTTCCCCTCACACATACATTCATCCTGCCTGTGGCCTCTACCATCTTCATTCCTCTCCAAGGAGTGAATGACTTTTCCCTCTCCTAGCTCCTTGTGCACCTTCCCAAATCTTCCTGATGCTCACATGGGTATTTAGCACTATCCTCACTTCCCTCAGTTAGGTGTATTCCACTTGCTATTTTGGCTCATAAAACTCTAAGTATTTCCAGAGCGAGCCTTGCTTTTTATGATTTCTGTAAGGAAATTCACAGTGCTTTATTTATACTGATAATGGCTCTAAACAGTATTAAAAGACCATCCAAGCAGTAAGCTTGACACAGCATAACAAAGTTTAACAGGAATGAAGGCATGAACCCAAGGCCATTCTACACCAGGCAACGTGTCAACAGAAGTTAGCATCTTAGCTGACTTTCCAGTGACTGACTCCTCATCCTGTTGCCTTAAGCAGCCTCTAAAAAGCTCTGCAAGGCAAACATGAAACAACTGACGAAGAAGAATGAGGTGAGGGCTGTTTTCCAGAAGCCATTTAGAGTCTGAAGGACTTTCACAAACTACTCTAATGTTGAGAAGAACTGTACTGAGTGTAAGGCAACAGCCCCTCCACGCACATACACACAGGAGCCTGAACATGAGCTTGCTTTACTAAACAAGGAGATTTCTCAGCACCAAATCTATTTCAGGTACTATTCTCCAGCTCTTCTCCATTTACACCCTTAGGCACTCAGACAGCCACAGGGCACAAAAATGGCGAAACCCAGATTGTCAGCAGAGCAATGAAGTTCTGCAATACCTGATTAAAGGAAAGGACTGGAACCTGAGGTGTCTCCTAGAGCTAATCTGGGGACAGGCTACAGATCTCTCATTTTAACTGAATCCAGAAATTACCTCTGCTTTGAAGCAAAGAAGTCTCTCAATGCAGAACAAGGTCAATATAATTGTACAGGGCATCTCTTTCTTGAACAGAGCTAGTGGTTAACCGCTGAAGCTGTTCTCGGGAGTCCTAACTTCTCATTCAAGTCCTTCTAACTCTGCATCTCTTCTCATGGCATTGTGTGTTGCTTGGGTTTCCACTGCAAAGCATTAACTCCACATTCAAAACCAGAACCATGACATTGCACAAGGATCCCCAAAGCAAATCACCCAGCCCCGCCCCGGCACTTACGCTGCCAACACTTTCCCAGTCTCCCACACCTCACACCGGTACATCACCAGCACATGTGAAGAAAACAGTTAGGAAAACTATGCACAGAGAAGTACCTAAAGAAATAATTTAAAAATCCCAACCGTAGCACCAATTCCCCACAAATAAAAACTTACAATAAGAAAAATCAATTTTGCTAGCTTCACAGGAACAATTAGAATAGCTTTCATAAACTTTGATTCTTTACTAGGAACTGCTACACGGTCAGGCATTATTATGAAGATCACTTGGACTGGAAAACTCTTGATGTAGCCTAAGTAGCAGCTCTATTCCCATGGCACGGAATGGCTCCACTGACAGAAAACACAGATCTGGATGTGCACGAAAGGTTTGTGTCTATCAGTTTTGATATCAGATGAGCTTCTATAGATATGAACTTGAAAACACAGCAGTTCCAGAAGGAAAAGAGAAGCACTGAAGCCAAGAGTTAGCTTTCAGTACAGCACAAGCGTTCAACTTTGAATGCTGAAATCTTCTCCAGTCATTCCAACAGAACAACTCAGCAATCTACTTTGGTGGATATACAGAAGATTGGTATCCAACAGCAGACTCAAACAATCCAGGCAGCAATCTGGAGGATATTCAGGCTTCCCAACTCTATTTTGAAAGGTCTGTGTCCTTGGGCTGCAGTTCAGCTTGACCCAGACAACATCCATGTTTTCCTCTTCTAATCTTTGACATAATAAAAGCAAACAAGAAGAAACAAGGACTTTTACCAGATCCTTTTTTGTTTGTATTCCAGGCTTGGCATTCCATCATGCTCTGTACCCTGTTACTGGCAGAAGGCCAGCAATGAAACTTGAAATCAAAGAGAGACCAAGTATTTAATGTTGCCTATTAAATACCTCTGGATATAACCCAGAGGTTGTTTAAAAAAAACTGTTCTTGAGAAGCCCATGTATAGATGAGAATAAGTTGTTTGTCATTTTACCCAAAAAGTTAGCTAAGGACTTTCATTATTTTTTTAATATTTTAACAGAAAGTTGATTAAGTATCTACTGCAAATATTAAGTCATTAGATGATAAGAGGGACTCATTGACTCATGGACTTGATTTTATTACTAAGCAATAGAACTTCTATAGTCTTTGGTTTAATATTAAACAAAAGTTCCATATTAAAAAAAAATATTAGCGAACGAAACAATAACAGCATTTGTGTTTTCCCATGTACAGCAACGTGAACGTAACCCCTTGTAACAACAGACTGACATTTTCCCAGGGGGAAGAGGAAAGACAGACACAGACTTGCCTCAAATCTGCATCAGATTCAGTCTTAGAAGTGCCTTTTTGTTGTCTCTAGTCACTGTACATCTCAAAGCAACTGAGTACTCGGCTTCCCTGTTTTGCCTGAAAAAGTCCACCACTGCTTCCTCTTGCAAATACCTACCCACTAGAAGCTATCTTACCAGTTTTAACTAAAATTTTGTCATTTAAGTGCTTTTTGCCTGCTTATGAGGTGTTTCATAGAATCATAGAATCACCATCAAGTGATAAGATCATCAAGTCCAACCTTCCTCCCAACATTTCCTTAACCACTAGACCATAGCCTCAAATGCCACATCCCCTCATTGTTTGAACCCCTCCAGG